GGAAGTGAAAGTAGGGAAAGGCAGGAAGGGAAAAGTACAGTAAAACAGTAAAATTACGTAATGATTTAGAAAAAAAAAAGAAAGGGGAACTGATTGATGATGTATGGAGTAGGGTAGTTGTGCTTACCAGTAGTGAAAGTTACTTTTCCCCTCACTGTTATAATGCACTTATAATGCTATATTTTTTTAAAACTGGCAGGCATCCTCTTGACTCTTAACAATTGTTCATATTATCTATGCTGGAGGGTGAATGTCAGCTAAAATTACACTGAAACTCTCTGGCAGAACATACAGCAGTACTGTACTTGCTACCAACTTGCGTTACATAACTCAAAAGCTGTCTGTCGAGGTCAGGTTTTGTTCAAGAAGAACGCAGTTGTCTGTGATGTAAAACATGAACTTGTTGGATCTTCACTGTAGTATTGCAGATTTAGGATTCAAAATGTGCTGTGTGTTCAAATTGTTCTCAACAGCTTTTTTGTTTCTTTGCAAAGTAACTGTGCTTTTGCAGTAGCTTTTGTGACAAGAAGCGGACTGACTCATGTAGGCACAGAGTTCAGGATTATTATCTGATAAGCAGTGTGACTAACTCTGAGATGGGCTCTGGGGAGCTCATAGAATGGTTGAGACGCATACTGCATGGACACAAATGCCCTGAGTCATTGGTTGGATGAATAAAAAAAATAAGGGAGTCCAGGTGAACGGAAGTCGTATTATGTTTGAATGTAGATTACGTCCCCCATTGGAACGCCAATAATGGATAGCATTGAAAAACCACTTACTGTCAGCGAGTAGGCAGAGGTGGGTTCATTTAGTGCCAAGGCTGTCATCTTAATTGCAACTGCAATGAATGCATACAGATATTCAACAACAACTATCGCGATTGGAATATGCGATAAAGATTGAAATCTTTCATTTCTATCCGCTAAGGCTTTGTCAATGCTAGGTCAGCTATAAGTAGAAATTACAAACTGGCATCTAAACAGCAGCTGCTTTTGCAATAAGAAAAAAAGTTTACTAAACGGAACATTGACAAAGCATTTTACAAGTCACTCCGTTTCCATATTTGTGTCAGTCCTTGGCATAAATGCACTCATATTTTACGTCTGGCTACTGACAGAAGCTACTTCGCTCTCCCACGACCACCTTGTACTTTCTGCTCCCACACACAAGCCCTAAAAAAGCTTTGATCTTGCTGGAAAAAAAAAAAGTAGGCTCGCATCGGTTCCCACTGCAGTCACTGCTGTATGATTCCCCAGCGACATAGCAGGTCAGCCCAGTTCAGACGGTCTCACCATAGCTGCTGCAGGCACTTTGTTTTTCAACTGTCTGCACTGGTGATCTGTATTTTCCACCTCCTCATCATGCAATGTGCTGTTAAAGACGTTTATGACACATTTCACTTGTATTTCCGCCCTGCTTTAATTTTATGCTGTTGTGAATCATAATAAAATGTTCATGTCATTACTGGATTAAATTTAACAAACCAAAGGTGAGGGCAGTTTTATTGGAGAGAAAAGTTAAATATAGTTTGTTTTTTGTTTTTTTTTAGCTGTAAACCACAGACTCTTTGGATATATGCTGTTTGTGGAAGGATATAGAAGGTTATACATTCTTAAGGGAAAATCCTACAGGCTCATCCAGTCCGTTGCAGCAGGATTTAATTTAATTTATTGTCTTTTGAGTCTTCTTGCCAAAGGCCTCAATATTTCTTCACAGCCTCTCAGTATTGACACATAATGTTCACATGTGTGCACTCAGGGACAGAGATGTTTATGGGTAGAAGTAAAATAGTGAGGGATATAATTGGCAGCATGGCTCAGGGTGTAAACACTGTCCTCTCAGATTTTTTGTTACCTTTTTTAAGACCAGGTGCTTGACTTATTAAACACACACACATGCACACACACTAACTGCAATGTGGGTGGAGAGAGAACAGCAAAAGGCCATAAACTGCAACCTGCTTTTTTTGTGTTTATTCATGCCTTTTGCTCAGGTCCCGCCTGAAAATGTTGGTTATTGTGCATGTGGGTGTATTTGATGGATTATTACGCTTCCATTCTCTGCATGCGTGCCTCAGACTCCGACTCTTTATATGTGTGCTATTCACTGCGCTTGTTTATAAGCACATATGAGGCCTGTGTGTGTGTGTGTGTGTGTCTGTGCGGGACAGTGAGTCTGCACATGTTTATTGCGCTATGGTCCAGTGTGGAGGCATTCCTAATGAGGCTTGAATCTGCACTCCGTGGCTCACAGCCACACTTGATGTCTCAGCGATGGGAGGAGCATAAAGCAAAAGTAGAGGCGCTTTATAAATGTTTAATTCAAACACCACCCTGTGGTCATTTGATGTTACCAGCATGTTAGTCATGCTAGAACAGAACAGAAAGAAATTGTGCAACGTTTAACAGTTAACAGCCTTTTGCTGCTCTTTAAAATACTAAAATTGGGACTCAAATAAGCAAAAAGATTGTTAAGATAAATATAAAGCAACGACGCAGCTTCCTGTACTCGCTCTACTCGGTTGGTAGTAGCTGCGATCTTCTACTTCTCTGCCAGTCTTGACGTTTTTGTGCCGTGTCTTAGCACTCCCCAACCACTGCCAGATTATTAGTGTTCACACCATCTTCACTCAAATCTGACCATAGCTGCTTGAAGTGAGCAAGTAATGAGAGCACCAGCAGGGTGAGCACATAGCAGGTTAGCGTACTCCCCATAACGGAGGTTAAAAGAGGACATTTTCTATAAATACCCTACTACTGCCAGACTGTCGATCCAAAGTTAAGACCAGTACATATTAGAAAGCGTCTGCCAACATTTGCAGAGTGCTAGTGTTGCAGATAAAGTTGAAACCACAGTGCATGCAGGTCATGATAAGGTTTGACTGAATTAGGTCATTTCATTGTCACGTCATGGAATTGCCACGGGGCAAACATGTAATTATTATTGACAGCCTTATAAATAGCTCCATCTTGCACGATAGAGTCTGATGTATCATATAGCTTGCAGTATGCACAGACACACTTGCACGGTAAGGTGGAAATGATTTGTGGGCAAAGAATGTTGGTGTCGAATTGAGATCAGATTGTTAATGACGTTGATCTCGAGCAGAGGATAACAACTGTTGCAAGTTGTGGGTTTGATAGATTTCACAACACGTCACACTTCGTCATTTAGGTTCCAATCATGCAACTGTCTAGGTCAGACGTTGAGGTATGCTTGTTATGTTTGAAGAAACTTTTTGCTTTGGTATAGTTTTTGCAACATTTTTTTGTGGGGTTCACAAAGCTAATCCTTCATAGATTGTCTTTATGGTGCACTAAGTGATACATCATATGATTTGTGATATTTTTTTTTTTATTTCAAAAAGGGAAAATATTTCTAGTTTCAGCTTGTTTTTCTGTGTTTTAGCACTTCAATGTAGCATCTTCACTTTTTACACATTATGTCATTACTGTGATGGTCACGCTCGCTCTTCAGACTCTGGGAACAGACTTCAGACTCCTGCTTCCCACCCCACCTCCCCTCCCCCTCCCTACTGTTTCTGCCATCTGCAAAACAGTGTGATTGTATATTTTTCTTCAGGCGATTGCCAGAAGTTAAGCTGGCATTGCATTCTGAACCTGTCTGTATGTGTTGCGGAGCGATCTTGACAAGCTCACTGTTAAGATATGGAAACGTCTGAGCTGGACGCCTTCCAACATCCACCAGCACTGCTTTCCCCCTTGGTTGTAGTCCAATTTACATAAGCAAGTGTCGTCTTTCCAATGACCGTGAGGCATCGGCCACTGTGAAGTTGGGTCGTGGATGTTTGGAGAGAGCGGTGGGGGTGGATCCTGATCTGCGAGACGGGACACTTAACGAGTTTCATTTATCTGGCCTCTCTCCGCTCTCCAATCCTGTTTTGCTACCTCCGTAGCTTGAAAGCCACGGAGAGAAAATGAGAAGAAGCAACTCCTTGGAGCATTAGTTGAATAATGATGTAACCTCATCACCGAGGCTAAGATATCTATAGACCTGAATGTAAAGTCATTATCAAGCTTAGCAAACTAACTCTGTTACATAACCCCCATATGCATTCCGACTAGTGTGCTGCCAAAACAAACAAAGGAGAAAAGATTTAAGCCTGTTTAACGCGGTCAAATTCCTGTCATGGATTACACAGCAGTGTCAGTCTAACACTGCTGACATACTCTAGGTTTGCAGCCTGCCACTTCTAAAACAATACCGCTGACAAATTGATGTTGGCGACTAGTTCAGCTTCATGCTGCAGTTCAGGTGTCTCGGTAACTTTATAGGCAGATCGGAACACAGACAACTTTGATGTGTGTGCGTGCATGCAGGTTTCTCAAGCGGTTTAAACAAGGCTTTAATTTGCATCATAACACAATTGGAGGGCTGGAGTGAGATTTAGGGCCTAGTTACCTCGTAAAGAAGCTGCAACCGGTGGCAGGCTTCACTGGGATTGGCTTGTTCGCTTTCCCATTACGAAAAGACAATCGGTGAGTCATCGACGGTAGCAAACTATCAGCGAGATCAAGTCGAAGTCAGTTTTATCTAATGACAACATCTGCAAGAAAATACTGTGAATGTTTTACTTGCACTACAGGTTGCCTTTGAGAATGTCCAGAATATTTTAGAAATTTGCTTGTGCTGTGTTCTGTTGGATGTTTTTGAAACCGATGCTTTTTTGCCTACAGTGTGGTATACATATAGTTTAGCTCTTGAAACCATTCCACCATTGTTCTGAGCATTCAGTCTAATTTTAAACCATTACCATAAGAAAACAATGCATTGAGCAAGGATTGTTTCCCCCATAGCTGACCAGCTGTATCAAAAAGGTTTTCACATCTCCTAGCAACAGTACAACATACCATTGAAGCTATCTGGAGCGGCACCCTACTTTTAATTTGTCACCGACATCTACATATTTTCATCCAGATGACCCATTTTCACTAATGTTGCTCTCTTTTTCTCTCTCTTTCTCTGTGCTCGTGAAGCAGAACAGGCGAAAACAGCAGCTCTGCAGTGCCGGGACAATCCAAGCCCAGCGGTCAGACCCATAAGATCTGCTTGGTGTGTTCGGACGAGGCCTCGGGATGCCACTACGGGGTTGTCACCTGCGGCAGCTGCAAGGTGTTTTTCAAGAGGGCCGTCGAAGGTTGGTTTCACACACCTGCCACTCCCTCAGTCACGCAGACATTCACTCCGACACACTACTTGGGAAACTTGGTTTTGATTTGAATGGTGGTATTTGTACACTGTGCATAAAATAATGTGTTTTTTATTTCAACATTTCCCTTTTGTACAGTCAAACTGTGACCACATTTGCACCAGGTTATAATCACACTGGTGTTCTGTTTACGTGTGTGCCTAAATGGTTAGCATCCCTTACTTTGTACATTCTGTCCTAAAGACTCTCATTCAGTTCAACTACATAACATCAGCTCTTAATGCTTTTGCTTAACATAGAACCACTTCTGCTGTTTCTCTTCTCTTAGGCAGCAGAAAATTTAATTATTTCTAAAAATCCAAAGTCAGAGTAGAATAGAAGGGTACTTGTTGAGCTCATAGACTTGCAGTTTTTGTTTGGGTTTCAATCTTAGTCCTGACCTTGTATGTCACCATCTCCTCTTTCTCTTTCCTTTCTTGTTTGACCTGTGTCAAAGCAGAGGTTATTAACAGTAATTTTGATTAAAAACAAAAACTTATAGAGGAGGGAGCCTTGTCCAACTATATCCCTACCTTCATACTCTTCCAGTTAACATATTATTGTCTTCTCCAGGACTAGTATTATAATGAACTTGTACAACAGCCTGTCTTCTGCTTCGCTTCACAGTTATTTATATCTGCTAATACAGTCGTCAGTTCTTGTCACAGGCAATTAATTTCTGTGTCAGGATGCTTGTCTAATTGCCTTGACAAAATCTTGAGATGGGAGGGACAGAAATGCATCCGACAAACATACAGTATTCGGTGTTAAAGACTTTCTGCTACGCATTCCTCCCTCTGCTTCTCTTTTTCCATTTCCTGCTGTTCCACAAGCTGTCTTTGCAGATGTGTAATTAGTTTGAAATGGCTTTCTGAGGCGAATGTAACTGTTAATTAGTTATTGCATGCACTCATCACCAATGGGCTGGTAAAGACTTGGTGAACAATGAGTACACTCTCTTTTTCATTGACCCAACAATGATACTTAAAGCACAGAAGTGACCCACACTAATCTCTTGTTCTCAAGTCCCAGTTAACAGACAAAGCCTCGTCCTTCTTTTTCTTTCTGCTCCTGCACTCACCACCTCTGCCTTCTTCCTCTGTGTCTCCAACTAACATTATTAGGCATTTACCAAACTTATTGTGGGGAAATCATTACTCTTAATATTAAGGGATGCAGTGATTATAGATTTCTGAGTTCTGCAACAGCTCTCTATTCAAACATGGCTGTTCGTAAATAACATTTTGTCGTCTCCTGCACAGAATAAAAACATTTATGAGGCTGTTTCTTCAGTAAATGTGTGTAACAATGATGCAGCTGAACTGTAAATGTGAACACACGGAATGAGCTGGACAATATTCTACAATATCTACATGATTATAATTATAGAGTTGTGTGATTGTTAACTGTTATTTTACCGTATCACCTTTAATCATGTGGTGCTGGTGTAACTGCTAAGCACTTAGACTGAAGTGTAAGTTTTCTTTTTTGAAAAGAGCTGACCTACAGTAGCACTGAGAAAGTCATATCTGTCATTTTTGTTTCTCTCCCCCCCTCTCCATTCTCCGGTCGTTGTCTCTATGGTGAAGGATGGAGAGCACGACAAAACACAGATGGTAAATAAATGCACTTTTAATAATAATAAGAATTATTATTGTACTCATGATGATGATGGAAATACAATCACCTCTGATTTGCCCATGTCCCTATATTCCTTCAGCACTAAAATATAACCAATCTAGCCATATGCAAAGCCTCTTTCGCCAACTATCTGTTAATGCATGCAAATGTTCTGATTTAGTCATTTAAATCGGTATAATTCGCCTGTGAGTGATTTATTTTTACCTTTTTCAAGTTCTGATTGGAATGCTTCATCTAATTATCCTCACAGGTGGTAGATCCAAAAATTGTAATCACACACTGTCTCTAATTAGACCCATTCTTTTGCACTTGACCCATAAAAAAATTACCTCTTTACTTTCCCTCCCCTTTGCTGTTCATGTGTTTTATTTACTCAATGTGTTTCACTGTTTCGCTTGATGGCTGTCTACTTTTAAAAAATATCCTGCACGACTCAACTGATATCAATATAAATTACGTAAATTCCAGCTCTACAGCATCACTTTGTCAGTAATTATTTTACTTACTTTTTTGAATTTATTGTTAATCAGCTCAAAATCATCTGTATTTTTTATATTCTGGACTAATTGAATATTGTTGATTACACCTGTCCACAGTGTTTTCACAGCTTAGTGTTTCACAATCATCCCCAATGCAGTGTTTTTTCTTTATGTCATCAACGCTTTTTGTGAATTTTTTTTCCCCATTTACATTAGTGGGTATATAGTCAGTCTTTCAGGATTTTAGACTTCACAAAGGTTTAAAAATAGTTAATTTGGGAAAAACCTTGTTTGTGAATGCTGAAGGGCCAAAAAAAATGTGTTTTAGATTTTACCTAATTATTATTGTGGCAGTAATTACGTTTAGGAGAGTTTTATCCGGTATCAGGTTATAATTTTATGTTGTTTTGGTAACGATTACACAAAAGTACCGAACGTTTACACACACAATGAGCTGCTTCTTTTTTTAATTGGATGCTGGTTAGATTAAGTAACAAGTAATTATGGGTGAAATAAACTGAGCACCTCTTGCCTCGAGTTGACAGGACAAACCATTAGCCCTACGCGCTAGGGCAGGAAAAAGGAGAGAAGTTACCAGTGGGATTCATCAAGCACTTTTGACACCACAGATGGCTGTTTACATTCTTGTTTTTAATGACTTCCCGTGATATCGGTGATGGCTGGAACTGGCAGCTATCTTGTCATCACACCACGATGATTCATAATTCATTTCAAATCTGCGTGAAATGTGGATGTACTTGAGTTTCAAAGGTGCTTCTGTCTGTGACTTTGACAGATTACCTTTGGAGCATGAACATAATTTTTTTTTTTTCCTATAAACTGGGCATTAAGTAGCTAACAACACTGCTTTGTTAATTACTTGAAGATGCAATAGGTAAGATTTTGAACATGAATACAGCATTAACATATTAGCAAATAACCCTCTGTTATGCAAAGATGTTGTGAACTAATGGTGTCCTTATCAGAGAATGAAGTCAGGCTAGGACAGTGTTTCTGTGTCCCAGTGGTATGTCATGTGTTTGCTCTATATCATGTGTTTGTAGACTAAAATAGATGTAGCTTTACAGGGCAAATGCCCACTGTGCTCACTTTGTCTCATGAATCAACCAGGATTTATAATGCTACATTTATCAAAAAAAAAAATCTAAAATTTCTTTCCTATGTCCAGCTCCAAATTGTGCTTAAAACACGGTCAGGACGTACCTAGTGAAAATGCAGCGTAGAGCATTCAACTGGAGCACCTAAAATGAAGCAATTTAAAAACAAAGTACTTCAATTGCGTTATCTGGCTGATTTCTGTGCGCTTGTTTGATTTCAGCTCATTGTGAGAGTCTTTTCGCGACTCTCCTTTGTTCTTCTTGTCTGAATCTGTTTTGGTCCATGTGTTTCACGCTCATTTCCACGTGTAGGTGAAAATAGAAACAGACACAAACTGATCGGAGCAGAACAGACACGGAGAGATAAGTGAAGTCAAGATAATGTTACTGGACTTAATAACAACTTATTACAACCATTCAGTGTATTTCACAATGCTGGTGGTGGCTGGGCATTTCATTTATTTATTTATTTGGCTCTCATGTACACAGCCTTTCTAGTTATGAATGAGCTGTGAAATGTGAAGGAAGGTGTGGCCTGTTTTGGTCAGATATGCTCGTGTCATGCCAGTGTAGTGTTAGGTTAGTTTACCTTAATATGTTTGCTCAGTCTTGACTACAGAAAGCATTTAGCTTCAACCTCCATCAATGTAAAATGAAGCGTCATTTAATAATGCTGGTGTTTGCTGGTGCTCATGGTACGCACATTTTAGGCTGCTGTATTGGGCTCATTGGTCACAGGCAACGAAAAAACTAAATCTTAAACTGTGAGTTATACAGGGGATTGAAATGGACTCACTCACTGTTGCGGATTCCAGTTTTACAGAAGTCTGACAGGCAGCACTATACATTATGTGGACAGCTTAAACATAAAGTAGTTGTAAATCAAACTCAACCTTAAGTACACAATTAAAGAGATATGTTCTCAACAATACTGTACTAAAAAAAGACCAGAACTATGTAGCTTTGATGGAAATGATCATGGATGCCACAAAGTGAATGATGGTATGTCTTTTGTGCTGAAATAACGTACGGAGCGGCGACCTATGTACAGAGATAGACATGGCCATGTAGTGAATATTGAAAAATCACAAGTTCACTGAAATAGGGTTTTCTGTCTGAGTTGTTCCTTGGACGTGCATCTTAAGAAGTGGATAACATTAGAAAAAAAAGGAAAAACCCTTATGTGAACTATGTAATCTACAAGAACATTTTTGGACATTTCATAGGCTATATCAATATATAAACAGTCATGCTACCAACAGCAAATAAAAGATAGCCAACTATAATTTGCCATGCTTAATGTTGCCAAAAATGACCACATATCACTTCACTGCTTGCCAACAGTAAACAATTTGTACATTTATTACACTGATTCTTTATACAATAACTAAAGATCACAAGACAGTTTCTTGGAAGTTACTCATACTCCCATATGAGGTAAAATGCACTGAAACTAAAAATAACTTTTGAAACGGTAACCAGTGGTTTTAAAACGGAAAAAAATATAATGCTACAGATCTGTGGTTTAACCCTGTGGTTTTACCTGCATCACACTCTACTCATTTTTTTCACCTTTCAGTTTGAATCTCGTTTTGCTCTTTCAGGGGCGAAAACACACAAACTGAAACAAAGGCTGTGAACTGAAACAAAGTTCCGACTGGCCTTGGCAGGAGCTCACAGATGGTCAACCAATCACATGGCTAAAATGTGTTACATCCTGTTTTATTTTGGTGTTTCCTGTTTATAGTTCCAGCATGAGCCGCTGATTAGCAAGCACCTGTGCTAGCGTGTTGGCAGCACCTATATAGGCCAGTCTTTCTCCGCCCTGCTGCAGCAGCACTTTCATGGGGGACAGTTGCTGCAGTCCTACAGTGACAGGACTGACCACAGCCAAACATTTCTAGTTTCCCTAAGTTACCTGATGGGTGGACTATGAAGCAAGAATAATAAGTTAGAGAGGCATGTTCAGCCTAAAGCCAGGGTTTTTACTGTCTCAGAGGTGGCTCTCTTTAAACCTGGATCCACCATAATATCCTGCTCTGGAGGAGGCTCTATTCAGAGTTTGGGATTTAAATTTGCTGCCACGCTTTCTCAAATTCTTTTCCTGCCGATTCTCTGCAAGCAATGCCGTGCTGTACATTAGTGATGCCACTTAACCGAAGCGCTGCAGTTACAGAAACACAAACTCTATGCGTCTCATTGCCACAGGAAGCTTCATGCATTTAGTTGGTGATGCAGAAATTTCATACATGTGTTTATGCTTGGTTTTGATTTGCTGCGAAGTCCGTTGTTGAACACGCATTAAAAAGCTGACTGGTCTGTATGTATGTCACAGAATACTTAGTCAGTAACATTCATTTCACTTGATTTGGCCAAAAACTAAAGTGGTTTCATGTACTCTTCATTATGGGACAGCGGTGAACCTAAATGCTCTCGTTAAATAACAGGTTTAAATGAGCGAAGTTTACAGCTTAAGAGTTTAATGTGCAGCTGTCGTGTTAAAAATAAACGGCTGCATTGAGAGATAAAATAAAGATAATAACTTGAGCCAAGCTTCCTCTCTTGCATCATTTGCAGTGCTTACATTTTCATATTCTGCATCGCTCTCCATCATAACAATCCGTTCTTCTTCAATAAAGTAGACAATTTTGTGCCAAAGAAAAGTCACATGACCTGGTAAATGCCCCTTTCTAAGGGTGTGCACACGGAGCAGAGTTAACAAGGTCGATAATCACCGCTGTAATGCTCATTATTTCTGATTGTGGTTTAGGGATTTTTTAAGCCAGCTAACACAAAGCCAGGCTATGTTAAACTTGCTTTGTAGCACACCTCACTGTGTGCCTAAACTCTGCTGAAGAGTGAGGAAAAGTTCTCAGTTTTCAACTGTTAGTAATGCTCCCCCTCCCCACCAGTATGTTTGAGGATTAATTATATTATATAATTTCTGTTTGCAGTACTGTGTGATCCTATTACACTTAAAGGATGCAGTTGTGCAGTAGAATTAATCACATAGTGTGCAGTATTACTTTCAAATTCTACTATATGACAATAGCAGCATTATTGAATGCCCTTTAGTTCAAAACGCTGCATCAAACGCATTATATTTCAAAGACCAGTAAGGATCAGTGCATCAGTGTTTATGGTCCCAAATGGCATTTTGTCAAAGACTGCTGAGTTTGTGTAAGGTCTTGTTTACTGCCGTCATAATGCAATCTTGGCTACTAGAGAGCAGCAGAAGCAAAATAAGTGTTAGATATCAATGCTATCAGTGTCCAGTCTGATGTGTTTCAAGAACATGAAATGATAGTGTCCTCTGTTTTTGACACTCCTTACACTGTAGCTGTGCTCTACAACAAAAGTGACAAATGAGCTGACCTTTCACCTTACTGCTCCAAATCAGTTGTAATTGGTGATGGCAGAGTTTGCTGTCATTTAGAAATTCAGTCGCCCAGAAGGGACATACGTTCTTTGACAAGACATGCTTTTGAGCTTTGAATTTTTCAGTGGAGGAATGCAACTCCTCAAGGAGGACTGTACTGAGGCAGTGTTTATCCGTTGCAGAGACTGAGCTAAAATAGTTGAAAATAGTTCAACCCTAGGTATGATGCAGCTCAGATCAAAAAGTCCACGAAAAAAATCAAGCCAATCTCTTTTCTTTTTTTTTTGGACTTTATATTATTTTCCCCTCCTTTTGGGACGAGCACAGCTTGTATCTCTTTGAAATCTACATCTGCTTTTTAGGTTTTTGTGATCTAGTAGTTGACATTATTATGTGATAGAGCCAGATACATCACCTGTGAAAGTAAAACATGAAAATCGCTCATAACTTTATTCTGCTGACATCCTGCTCACAGTAACTGTTAACTGAAGGATGTGGTGAAAACCAATAAGAATCTTTTTTTTTCCCCAAGTGGCAAAAAACATTTAATGGTAAACCTTTATCTAATTTCCAATGATCTGTTGGTACACAATCTCAGCAGTTGATGGGATGTTCTCTCTTTGCATAGTGACTCATCTGAGATGGTTCTAGTGAATCATGACTGTGGGATTTCCTAGAACAACTGTCAAAATGAAACTTTGAAAGATGACCTTCTGCACAGTTGGTGTGATCCTACAGCATGAGACATCCCCTTATTAATTTTGTCCCTTACATTAATTTTGTCTCCGTCTGAACTCGGAAGAATGTGTTGGTGCTGGATAGATAGGATTCATGTGATACTCCTCAGGGTCTGTCACACGAGTGCTGTATGTGCTAAAAGCAAGACACTGTTGCACGGTGGCCTGGGGTACTTCTGCTTAACTGATATAGTAACATGACGTCAAAGAGATTTTCCAGCATGCACTATAAAATATATAGCTGCTGCACCAGTGAGGTAGGCGGATCTGGCACAGTCACAAAGCTAAGCCTGTATAAAATACACTGAAAAAGGGATGCATGCTGTATTTAAGAGTGAAATGTAGAATCCCTCTTCAGGCGTGCTCTCTTCTATTGAACATGATATGGATGTCTTTTGGTCCAGCTGACTCTTTAGGAGACATATTTAAATCACTTGATTTAGAGAGACTGGTATCAAGACTGGTAAGAAAGTACAAGAGTGTGACTCATAATAGACGTAATTTATAGCCCATTTTTGAAAAATAACATCACTGGCTGGAATGGTAATCGTGCACATCCGAGTTCTCAGTACAGATTATTATAAATATTCAGTCTAAGATGTTCAGGAAAGCAGGGGGTGTCTTAGAGGCTGGTATACTTCAAGCTGCACATTATTTTAGATATGTAGGATTTCCATCCTACTGTAGCATTGTTAGGGTCCTCTACTCTTCCCCCTGGTTATGAATGCAGGAATTCACAAGGAAAATGGTGATTGGATCCATTTTACGTTTAAAGATATGCACAGAGGTGCAGCTGCAACCCCATCCTGTGATGACGCAGTGTACTGACACAGTTTGGAATACACATTTACATCACTGAGGTGAGCAGTGAGGTCAGCAAAACCAAGATTTCAAAAAGTGTTAGGTTGCATGTGATGTAGTGCACACAAGGTGTTTAGGTTAGGGTACACCGCAGATAAGTGTGGTTATTGTTGTTCTTGTCATCAAATCAATCCAGAAGACCGAACTAAGAATTTTGTCTGTAAATTCTCTGCCATGGGCCTACATTCTTCTGCCATCTTTAACCCTCTGAGCCCCAAAACCTGCCTGCAGTTTCAAAAGGTGTATTCTCTTTCAAAAGGTGTCTTCTCTTTAATCATCTGTTTTTGCAGATGATTCTTTCTGCAAACACAGAAAGAATTATCTGATTTTCAACTTTCTGTTAGTCCTTCAACTACTCATCAGTGATGTGCCGTTCTGTAGGAAAACTTAGCTAAAAATTGTGATATTTCATCATAGTAACTGTTCAAAAATGAACCGTTTGCAGTGAAAAGATGCTGTAAAAAACGTGTAGCTATTAGTGAATCAGCTGTAACCAACTGTCAAGGAATACAATTTCCGAGACTTTTCCGTTGAACTGCAGATTGAAGATAAGAGAAAAGTATGGAAACAAATAAAATAATGTTATTGATAAAATATCCCCAATATGTAGAGTCACTTTTTATTTCCAGTATCAGTAATACCTGTGGGCACTTGGAAAAATGTTCACATTACATTTTAATTACAGGTTTTACAATTTATTTTTAATGAATAATCAAAAAAAACCTCAACTTACGGGCTTTCTTTTTTCATGATTATGTTATAGAACTGTGTCATACTGCATAGAACAAATTCTCACTACTTGTAGTCTTAGTAGTCTGGTCGTGGTTGTGCTGTTTCCATAGAGGTGCAGGACTTGGAAAAATGAGCCCACAATGAGAAAAAAAATGTGCCAAGAGCAAAAAACAAAACAAAACAAAACGAAAGGCCCAGAAACTATCCGGGGTTCAAAAGGTTAACATCCCAAAGTACGAAAGTAATAGTTGAGCCTGTTTCTCTGTGAACAGTATTGCTTGTAAACCTTTCTTCTAAAAATGTTTGATGGAGCCCACACATAATCTCTTCCCTCTGGTCACAAATCTATTGCTGCTTCTTTATCAAATTAAATTAATCTAATCACAGCTTGCATCCGTGGTCTGCAATCAAATGCAGACCATTTAGGATCTAGTACATGGACCACAATAGGAATGTGGACAATATGGACTGTGTGATTATTGTGCTCAGAAAGCCTGGCACGCATTTATGAATTGTGCCATGTAGCCACAGCGCAAATTTGAGGGAGTGAAACCATCAACATCATTGGGATGCCACAGGCTTGTCAGGCTTACCATAGAATCAGCAGGTGGCTAGTGTGAACATACACTGTTCAGGATAATCCTTCTCAAACCTTCTTAACCAGCTAATGTGTCTCCCTTATCTTCTTTTTTTTTTCTCTCTCTCTCTCCAGGCCAGCACAACTACCTGTGTGCAGGGAGAAATGACTGCATCATTGATAAGATCCGCAGGAAGAACTGTCCAGCCTGCCGCTTCAGGAAATGTCTTCAAGCCGGAATGAACTTGGAAGGTAAACAGTCTGACCCCCTCTTTAAACACAGGCCAGGCTTATAGCGTCACAGACAAATGGCAGTTAGTGTATCTTTAGCTCTATTACTCGGTTTCCAGCTAAAACACAACATGTGGGCTTTCTATACTTCCAGCAGGGATTCCACTGACTCCACCTACATCTTCCTCACCCACATTGTTAGTTCAGAGGGCAAAGCACGAATTGGGAAAAAAAAAAATTTACTCCTTGAACACATACTTTTGAAATGTATACAAAGAGTTTGCCAACTGAAATGCAAATACAAACCTCCTACTATGACGTTGCTTCGCTACAAAACATGAGTCAGCAGTAGTTTCATACTGTCTAATCACATTTGACTGGTTAAACAGTTTATGCATTTCATCATGCAGGATGAGTCAACACTCCCTCTGCTAAAAGGCAAGGTTTTTATCCTGTTAACATGTATGCTAGAAGACATATAAGTGAAGCAGTCAATGCCATGGTGGAAAATAATACACAATTCAGACTTCCTCAGACTTGTTCCTTCCCACGATTCACACCCCTGTCAACTTGCAAGGTGGGACTTTCTGTATGATTGTTCTTCCTCATAATCACTTTCCACTTCAGACAAGTATGGCTGACTAATGTAATATTGCAATTTGCCGTTGTAAGGCAGAGTAGTTTTACAGTGTTTAAGCAGAATCGTGGGTGAGCTGGTGTGCTCGAGTACTTGAGGCGGATACAGAAGGGAGAGAAAAGAGAGAAAAATTCTCAAACCTTTCATTTTTTTACAAAACAAGAAGAGATGACATAACAATCAAGACAGGTGCATGAGAGCAGAACTTTAAAAAAAAAAAAAATATATATATATATATATATATATATATACACACACACACACACAGTCATCAAATTTATTCATACCCTCCCATTCAGAAGGAAAAAAACAGCTGTCACTGAAATAAGTTGAAATTGACAAGAGTAATAATAAATATAAATTTTAGGAAAATCATAACATTTGAATTGTGGTTTAACAGAAATATTTAAAAAACAAAAAAACAATCAAACAAATAAAAACAACAAGCATGATGGGAGCCATAAACCAATATTTTGTTGAACATCCCTTTGAGATAATCGCTGCAATCAAGTGTTTTGTGTAACTCTCAATCAGACTTCTGCACCTGTTGACAGGTATTTTGATTTTTTTTTTTAATTGTTCTTTTCAACCACAATTCAAAAGCAATGTCTTATGTCATTAATTATAATTTAGAAATTTTTTTATTTATTATTACTTTTTTCAGTTTCTGCTTATTTGAGTGACTATTGTAAATTTTGCCTTTTCTTTAATGGATGGGTATGAATAAAGTTGAGGACGACTGTATATATAATATATCCATATGCCTTTTATTTGTAGTGAATCCACTTTGATTCCCCTTTGACACTGCAGTGCCAAAAGTATATCTGGTTTCTCCATAACCTAGCATAACCCACAATAAATGGATGATAGCACATGTCAGTATATAGTGGCACCTTTTTTCAACCTTTAAAACACTTACTAAACGTATACTGAATATTCGGTATAGTGTGTTTTTAGATGTCTTCAAGAGTTGATGTTCAAATGTGCTCTGTGACTTTATTGAAAGTTGTGTTTTTGTGCGTCAGAGGTTTCTTGCTGAGTTCAATGTGGGAAAGACAGTATATTGTAATTATTTTGCCATTTAGATTTAGCACTAAGTCAGACAGACAGTCTGCAGTATTTACTATCTTAACATGAAGTTACATGTAGAGTTGAGTTCACTGTAGGATTTATAGGTTACATACTGTGTCTTACAGATTCTTCTTTTATTCACTATACTTAAAGTAATTTTCTTTTATCTACAGATGTATTTTTGCCTTTTAACTTTATTCTGTTCCTCTACCTCTTGTGTAATAATTCTGTGCTCATGGGAATTTTGTTTGAATCAAGACTATGCTTTGTCCTGGACTGAAAAAACAAATCACCTCCAGGCTTTTAAAATCCTTTTTTTGAATTTAGGGTTTTGAACATGTTGAGGGCTGTGTGTAAAGATAAAATAAGAACTTAAAACGAATTCAAAGTGAACAAATGACCTCTTGTGTAGCTCACTGCCGAGCAGCGTGCCACAGCTCTGTAGAAAATGTGTCTCCTTGTAGAATGTCTTTCACATGAGCACAAACATTCCACAATGGTACGGCAGGAGTTTTTTAAATGAACAATTTCCTTAAGTTCATACATTTTATGTAGAAATTCTCTTTTTGTGCATGCAAGTGTTCAGTGTGTGTGTGCGCAGGCCAGGCAGAATGAGAGTGCACCACCTCTTCACACACACTAATCAATGCATGATTCACTTCCAAGTCAAGTCTGCAACCTTAAATTACCTGGTGATCTTTCGGCAGATTCTGTGTCCAGAGTTAAATGTTTAGGACACGGTGCGACAATTAAGCTTTGCCAAGGTTAAGGAAGATGGGTATGGGATGCAAGAGGTGAAGCATAACAGCTTCTTGAGTGATTGGAACTTCTTTAGTGTGTATTTTTTTTTTTTAGGCTAATGTTCCTTCAGGGCATGGCATCGCTGTTGGTTCTCACAAATCAGTGCATAGTGTGATTGCATGTGAAAAGTGGAGTGTCAGACAAAGGTGAAGGTAGTTTCACATACAGACAGTGAGAGACAGAAGGACAGAGAGAGGGATTTGATGGACGTCAGTGCATCAGCAGACAGACTCCCACCAGAAAGGCTCTTAGTTGCCATAGAAACGCCAGGAGAGGAAATTAAAAAAAGGTAGGAAGGTAGGAAAAAACATGTTTTTTCATGGTAGCCGCGCATTTAGTTGGAGTAAATGTCAAAACGACGCCCAGATAATGTACATATTGTGAGCAAAAACACAACAATTTGCTGTGGCTGATGTTGCAGTGATGCAGAGAAACTGCACGAAAAAAAAATCCAGTGTTAAATAACAGATCTTCTAAAATGGAATGTTTTTGTAGGTCTGTATGGCTCTTTTCTAGGAAGAGACCAGCATGTTTGATTCTCCAGACCTTTCAGTGGTTTGTTAGAACTTGTGAGGCTCAAAGTACCCTACATTTCAAATTTGTGACTGCCAGTTCATTTTATTATGACCTTTCATCTTTTTCTTTCATTATTTTTCTTCCGCCAAAGCGAGAGCTAAATTAAATGAAACATGATGGACAGGGGGGTACCCATTAAAACTTGGTGGGGATTTGGATCACTTTCTTTAAAATTGTAAGATAGGGCATTGGTGGAGTGCCGCACTCTTCGGTTGGACTTCTAGATAATGAATTTAGTTCAAACCCATTAGTTTCAATCAGTGTTGTTTGTGCTTTAGATTTTTACATCCATGTTAAAATATGGGGGGCGATCAGATGAGGACATGCTGAAGTGAAGTGGTCATATTTCAATCAGGGAATTATTTTCTTCCTTTAATATCAGGGCCTGATTGTGGATACATTGTAAGAGGAAGGTCCCGTACATTTGCTTTGAGGTTCGTCTTACGCTGTAGTAAAATATATTAAAACCAAGTAAATTTAATTGAGTAGTTGTGGAAATGGGCATGCTAGATGTAGGCATGTCTCTGTATGGGTTTGAAAATACAAAGAACTGCCACTCTAAAAAGAAATCTTTTATAAAGTGGAAATGTATGGCGATTGTGAATGGAGAATTAGATGAAGTTTTGACTGACGTTATTCTAATTTTCTGACATCTTAGGAATCAATTATAAATCAAGAAAAGAAAGGTGATAACATAAATAGAAAAAAAATAGCTTTTGATGAAGCTCTAGTCATTTCAGTTTTGGTTCGACCCTAATTATCTTCCAGTAGTCGTTACTGTTTCTCCATGTTCTGTATATTTGCACAATACAGTAAATGGTGATAAAAGGTCAAAGTCATTCTGATTACTGCTGCAGTAGAGGTTTTTCAAAGAGTTATCATTTTTCAAAGAAGCACCTTGTGAATGCCAAGAAATTCACATTTTATTTTTTTTTCTTTCTATCCCTCTGTTCAACCTCCTAGCACGAAAAAACAAGAAGATGATCAAGATGAAAGTGCCACGGCCCCCTGGGTCATCAGAGCCCATTACCAACATGCCTGTTCCAGTCATACCCAGATGCATGCCCCAACTTGTGCCCACAATGCTGTCTGTGCTCAAGGCCATCGAACCAGAGATCATCTACTCAGGCTACGACAGCACGCTGCCCGACACTTCCTCGCGGCTCATGACCACCCTCAACAGGCTCGGGGGACAGCAGGTCATCTCTGCAGTCAAGTGGGCCAAGTCATTGCCAGGTACCAAAAAAAACGTCTTTACCACGTTTTACCTTTTGGTGTGGTTTATGCTGCTGTTGAAGCAGAGTGTGTCACTTTCAAGCTTGGAAACTGAACTAATGGATAGTGAAGTGGGTCAAGCCACAGATTGAAAACAAACACACCCACTTTCAGTCATTAGTTGGTGTTGTTACAGCTGGTCAAAGAAGTTACATCACTTCTTGATACAAAGGGTCCATTTCCTTGGTTGTGTGGTAAAACATTTGCCAACTCAGCATGTAATACACTCTCACAAAGCTTTCGTTTTTGTCTCCAATTAACTTTGTGTCAATCCATGAGTAGCCTCAAGTTAAGTTGCCAAATTTTGCGAAATAAGTGAAGTAACAGAACCTTGTACTATTCAGAATGTCACTGCATGTAGTCTTGTGGTTAGAAATGATTAGTAAGACTTTGTTCCAGTCAGATTAGTAGCTTTGATAGGGCTCTTCAGATTTACGACTTTGGCTTCTCGCTGATTGAGTGGAATCAGTTACTAGGAAGCAAAGACGGAGCAGTTCCATAGCTGAGGAGTCAACATTTATCAGATTGAATCACGGTTAGGCTCGTAGCCAGCTAGTTGTCTTAACTGATGCAGTGGTGGCCATTGTGGAAGTGTTCCATGTGTCTTAGCTTAAGACTGTATAAAGGCAGATTCTTTTATCAGATGGTTCCTCTTGGCAGATGTTCTACACTCATGTGACAAAACGTGTGACCTCTGTATTAGCTGAATGTGACATTACAGATGAAAGAGGAGAGTAATTGTGGCTTATGAAAGAACAATTCACTTTAGGAACACAGCCTCTCCAAAGTACTTTGACTTTAATAAGGTCATGACCCAGGCTAATGTCTCGTTGATATGACGGCCCCACGGTCTGCTAAAAATAATTATTCCAAATGTTTCAGCAGCGAGAGGAAATTTTACTTTCATTCTCAAGGCAATTTAAATCACTGCATTTTTTTGGTGTCAGAATGTCTTGAGAAGAGGAAGTATAGCACGTGCGGTTTTTATCGCACTGGCATTGAACTGAACATAAGATCTTTGGTGTAAATCTCCGCTACCACGCGGAAATCTCTCACTCTCTCAAAAGCTACTTATATACAATGATTTTTGCGTGGACAGAATATGTGAACAACATTAACAAAATTATTGTGCTTGTGAAGGTAAGTGCATGTTTTCCAGGAAAGTGCCATTTCCTGATATTATTATTGACATGCTCATGGCACCAGCACCACAGAGGCTAATAGAGAAACACATGCAAGATAAAATTGGAACTAGTGTCTTTGCCCATTTTTGAGGTGCATTATTCCTAAGTGGATCAAGACGAGACTCCAAGACAAATTGCTTTGAGATTTGGTTCATAAAGGGCTATACTTACATTTTATTGTTGTCAAAATTGCTTAAATTCAGGCCATAAATGTCAACAGAAAAGATAATTGCAGGGTTTTATGGCTACCCGGTTTCCAATCCACAAAAACAAAAATGGACACACAAAGACTTTGGAATTTTAACCACCCACACCTGGTTTCTAGTCATGAGAAGGAAGGCACATGACTTGATAATCACTCCAAGTATTCGCTTGTAGATCTACATCATATTTCACAGAGAAAACCTCCCAATGAAAGCAAAAAAAAACAGGCTTTTTTCATCACCGATTTTGCTGTATGTGACTATATAATGAGGAACAAATCTGGCTTCACATCTTGTTGTGTGTGTATTGTCCACAGCTGGCTAGCTGATACTGAGGGGGGGGCGGCTGTGCGGGCTGTTACATAACTGATATCTGGTTTAAAACAAATGTAATGTGAAAGGACTTTTCATGTGCAGCTCTACTTTTCTAATTCTGACGGAGTGGAAATGAGCGAACTGCAATTTAAATTCAATTTGAACGTTGACTTAACTAGATTGTCCTTTTCAGTTTTTTCTGCGGCTGACTTTCAAAACACTGTTTTAATGATGTGTTGAGCAATTATTTTTGTTTTTGTTCAGTGCCTCTCTGAAATCAACAAATGAAAATATTGTGCTGTGCAGTCAGAAAATTAAAAACAGAATGTTTAAATAGCATCTGCAGCCTAGGCCATCGCTCTATTACAAGAGTCATCATTTTCCAAGCAGCAAAAACACCTTTTTTCAATCTTGCTTTCTTTTGAAGAGATCGTGGTGTGATTATTTCTTTGATGACTATCAATTTTATAGAAAAAGCATCCAACTAAAGTCCCATATGTAATAGTCTCTTTATTAGAGTCATATCATTTCATTTACTATGATCATGTTTAATGAATTTCTTTTATCTGTTTATTTTTTCTAACAAACTTTTTCTGACCTTCCCAGGCTTCCGCAACCTGCACCTTGATGATCAGATGACGTTGCTGCAGTGCTCCTGGCTCTTCCTCATGTCTTTCAGTCTCGGTTGGAGGTCATACGAGCAGTGCAACGGTAGCATGCTCTGCTTCGCCCCCGATCTCGTCATCAACAAGTCAGTACCGAGGCCAGCTATTGTCAGCCAATGTGTTTTTGCTCATTTCAGCCGCCCGTAGACTGAGCCTGGCTAGAACTGAAATCAGGCTTTAAAGCTGAGATGTTTGGTCATGTGAAAAAAAGCATCTGGTAGCTGACAAGATGGAAAAAAAATCTAAATGTGGCTCAGGCAGTTCTTGGCCTAACTTACTTCTGCACACTGCTCTAAAGGAATAGTTTTTTGGGAAATATGCGCATTTACTCTTGTTTTTATGGAAGGTTCGCTGTTTTGCTGTGGAGATTTAAGCCTTTATATGTGGAGCTAAAGCTCGGAGGCAATGAGGACTGCTAAAAAGTTGTATTTTGTTTCTTAAATCAATACATAAACATAAACGCTACTTGCTGGAACTATTTTTTAATGGTGTTAAGCTGAGCTAATCACCTCCTGCTTTGTTTTTCAAAAGAAGCAGACATGAGTGTGGAATTGATCTTCTCACCTAACCCTCAGAAACAGAGAAAAAGTGTAATATGTCAGACAATACTGTTGTGGAAAATATTCTGTTTTTCTGTCGGCCGATAAGAAACAAAAAAACAGCACAGAAATACCAAATCAGGTCTGAGTTCCTTTAGACTCAGTGCCCTCTGTACAGTGTTTGTCCACCACAGAGGTTACGTTTCAGATACAAAAGTTCCTACTTAGAGTTTATTTTCAGAAAATGGGTCTCAGAAAATGTATATCCCAAAATGTTGGACTATTAATTTTGAATTAAGTAACAAAAATATATTATTCATTTCCCTCAGCTGGAAAAATCTAAGTTCAGAAAAAATCTATCAGTTAAATCAGGAATCTGAACATTACAAAAAAACAGTTTAAGATCTAACAGTCTAAGAATAGTTGTAATAAAATATGCTTTATTAATTTAAGAAAATGACTAATCATTTATTGAGAATGAGCCCTTTTAGGCTTTGTAATACACATAGCAAATCCTCGTACAGAAAAAAAGCGAGTTTGTGAATTACATTCTGAACCATACAGTAAATAACTTTCAGTGCTACTTGGAGGCCACAGAGAGACGGTTCAGGTACGACAGCAGTATGTTAATTACAAATCCTCATTACTTAAACTATCACTGGCTTCTAAGATTGATTGTGTTTCAACAAATCTGTGCTTACCACAGTCTTTGTAGTCTCTAGAGGAACCACAACTGAGGGTAATCTCCTGTTAGCCTGTGTTTGTTTTTTGCCGTTAGGCTCAGATTTTAAGTACTGACATTGTCCCATTTAATCCTCTTGAATTTGTCAGAACTCCACGCACTGTGGCTGACTTGTTTGGTCCTTCTCTTTATTAAAATATCTTGTGAACCCTTCTTTTGTTTTTCAGAAAACCTGAAACATCGAGATTTTTAGATAAATTAGTATCTGTGTGTTGGATAGTTTCATATGATCACCTAATCACATTTACTGACAGAAAATGTGGGCATTTAAATGCTTTTCTGACACTTTTTGCTATTATTTAGGTTGTCTGAAAACTTGTTGGGAGCTCTGATGTGACCATTCAGATTTTGTTTTTAGTGCAGTGTTCTTTTGTCCAAAGTGTAAATGCTTCTAAATTTGTAGTGAATGGCAAGAGTGCAACAAACACACGAACACCCCACTGACAACCTGCAAACAGCTCATCCTCTTCATTGGAAATGCGTAGAAAGAAAGGCCTGAGCTGTGAAGAGTCATTTCCAACAGACACGTAAACTCAGAGAGGGGTAAAAATAGATATGAAAGGTTGAAGAAGTCATTGCCAGTAGCCCTGCAATTGGTCAGAATGAATTGACAGCTCTGAGCCCAAGGCTATGTATCTGGAGAATGTGCTTTATTGATTTTAGAGGTAAAAAGTAATGTGGGCTGCGTGTTAGTGGAAGTGAGGTGTGAAAATCCATCATGACTGATTTCACAGTGCAGTTTTTGTCCTGCAGGGCTGTAGTGTTTCCCTGCTGGGGCTATTTATTGAGAATTGAATAACAGGACAAGAGAAGTGAAAGAGCTTTAAGTCTAATCTGTGTATCTTACCTCTGTTTCCCTGTTTCCTCCACTGGTGTCTTACCTACAATTCTCTCTTCCCTCATGTCCACTGTCTCTTTTCCCTTTTTCTTTTTTCTCTCCCAGAGAGCGCATGAAGCTGCCCTTCATGACCGACCAGTGCGAGCAGATGCTGAAGATCTGTAATGAGTTTGTCAGACTGCAGGTGTCTTACGATGAGTACCTGTGCATGAAGGTGCTGTTACTGCTCAGTACAGGTAACAGAACACATTTCACTTTGAAAAATCACAGCAGTGTTTTTCAAAAGTCTTTTTTTTTTTCTGGGATTAAAATAGATTTCAAAAACCATTGTATCACCTACGTTATACTGTTGAAACCTTTTCATTGCACCGCAATTTGTCACAGCGGGGAAGTAGATTGAGTGGAATGGGGACAAACTGCATCATATGTGCAAATTACTACTCATAGTTCAGCAGCACCATGATGGCTACTGCAGGCAGATAGGAAAGCTGTAAATGGATGAATGAGTACTGAATATGTGACTGAGTTACTTCTCGGCATTCATTAAGACTAACTGAGCATCTGGGTACCTATGTTTAGGTGACTTCAAAATCTTTTTTTATTTTTTTATTATTTGGCAATACTGCACAGTAACACATTGTTGTCTGGCAGCACCACACAGTAGTACATTGTTTTCTTCTTTCTGCTAAATTGACAAAGCAAGCAACAGCTTGTTTTCTCAGCATGAATAATCAGAGGTTTTTTTTTTTTATCTACAGCGCTCGCGGCAACAAATTTGAACCGCTGAACAGCATTGCTTCATATGTTGCATGTTGTGACGATTTTAGCATTGTGAGTAATGCAGCGAAACAGCACAAGCTTGAAGTTTCTCAGCAAAAACAATTACACATAAAGTAATAACCCTCATCATTTCCGTCGTGGTTGATTTGGCAACCCCTGCAGTTACTGGCAAATGTGGAGTCCCAGAATTCTGCTCAAATACAAGATAGCGAACAATAAACATGCTTCGAGCACCTACTCTCTCAGAAACACAACTGAGGAAGAATAAGATCCGTTTGCAGAACCTTGATGACGTTCTCACAAACCATAAAAGAACTTGTTGCCTGGAGTTCTTCATCTCTTCTGTTCCATTGCAACATTTAAAACTGATCTGCTGACAAAAAGAAATGTCTCGTTTTAGAGACACATTATAAGTGTGAGGTTTTCTTTCAGTTTGCATTATATGTCACAGTGGATGACAAAATATATCTGTAAATGTTTCAAGTACTTGTTTTACATTCAGTCATGGCTCCGTTGTTTGGTTTGACGGCGCCGGAAGGATTTTCATTTCTTTTAGGAGTCCTTTTTTTATATCACAAGGACTCTTCTTTTTTTTTTTTTCCAGAAGAGGCAAATCAATACAAAATAGGACTCGATAGACCAGGTGTTGCCGTTACTGTCAAATCATGTAACAAGACCAAGTGAGATTGTTACAGTTGCCATCTAAGGACATTCTGTGAAGAGGTGGACAACACAGATCATCACAGATTGACGATCTTTAACTCTGCAACAATGTCAAAATGTGACAGTCTTTTCCAAAAACCTCAGCACTTCATCTACTTCTGTATGCTGTCCTGAAAGTGAAAGTACAGCTCAGGCTTTTTAATCACTTTCTCGGTTGAATATAACTTCAAATGTCAGACAGGTGCTTAATCTCTGTAGAATGCAATTTTTTTTTCTCCTCTCCATTAACAGGAACAGCACAGGGAGGTCAACTAAGCGTTAAATTAGTACTTTTTTTTTGTTTGTCTCATCTAAGAGGATAAAATACTGGGTGTTGTTTGTCCTTCTCTGTAATCATCACAATTGTAGATTCATCATAGGTTGTATAATTGTGGAAAAACATTGTGGAAAAACCTCATTACAACAAACATTTACCCCAATTTTAAACACTTGGTTTTGCTGAGGGAAAATTGAGTTTAGTAAGGATTTATTTCTGTATTCTAAACGTATTTAGATTGCATTCAATTTGTAGTAGTTACTTTGAAATGTACCAATTAGTAAAGGTCATAATAGGATGGACTTTTTCTATCCAGAAAAAAAA